CCTTCCCTCCTTACCTAGCACTCGAGGCCTTACCTCAATATTACTCACCTTATTATACCACTTAACACGGGAGATAGAACGCAGACACCTATGATCAAAGACAGCTGGCCAGCCTTTTCATGTCTTCCACTTTCAATGACCATGTCCCACAGCCATAGAGGAGGACAGAGCGAACTGCTAGGCAGTACACACACACACATATGTGCGTGTGCGAAAACAATTTATTATGACTCTTAATCTACCTTGGTAATCTTTATCTGATTAGATAACCAAGCATAGTGTTGTTAATTATTCCTATTATTCTTAAATCCTTTTATCACGTTGTTCGTTCTAATGGGCCTTTATTTCTTACATAAATTAGATTAACAATTAAATGTGTGATCAGATTTCTTGAAGTGTCTTCTTCAAATAGATCAGAACATATTTCAGATAAACTCCATCTTCTAATATAACACGATCCGAAATTATTAAAGGGACTAATCATTTTTTATATCTCTGATTGAGAGTATGTTAACTAAGGGCAAAGTTAAACTTTAAGCACTAGTAAGTACCAACGGGCAAATGACCTTGAACGCACTAACCACACAATAAAGACGATTTTTGCATATGAAATACGTATATTCGTGAAAATAATGCGCACACTTTCCAAACGCATCTCTGGGCATTATCCGGCATGGTTAGCAAAGGGACAATGTAAGACAATTACTAGCTCAATTCTCGAGCATTTGGTGAACTCAGGCCACGTAGCTCCACCGGAGTCATCTTTCAAGAGCATCGACAAAGTGAAGCCAAATGGTACAAAGGGCGTCAGGTTTCGGCTTTTGTGTATGGGGCGGAGGCGCTGGCAATTTATCAATACAACCCTGAACTCTGTATACAGAAAAAGTTTGTCCAGTCTCTTATTCTACCTTGGTCATAACCTTCTCACTGGTCGTTCCCTGTTAAAAAAAATTTGATTTTTTCCTTTTCTTTTTTTGTAATTTTTAATCTTACTTTTAGTTTGCTTTTGCTTTAATAATTAATTCATTATTATCACTCTCATATGCTCCTTTTGTATATTTTCACACCCTC